GCTTCCCTTGGACAAGACACTGTACTAGGCTGTAGTGTACAGTACTGAAAAAGTCAGGGGAAGTCCAGCCTTTAAGATGATCAGAGTCTTGGGTCCTAAGTTCTATGCCCCTACGGCTCAGTGATTGCAGGTGTTCTCCAGGGATGCTCCCTGCTAATCAGTCTAGAAATTCTTTATGTTTAAGCCACCTGAATGGTAGCAATATTGTCCTTGAGTACTTGGCTTATCTCTACTCAGCTGGCTCTCTTGTAGGATGAAAGCAAAACCCCATCCCTGGAAATGAGTGGAATACTTGGTTTCGAGCCCTGTCTTCCAGCTTCTGTCCATTCTGTCCACCTAGAACACCAGCTCCAACCATTCATCTTTGCCAACAACTCTGGCAATAGCAGTTGCTAACACATCTTCCCTGACTGCCCTCAGCCCCACTATGATAACAAACTTAGTGAATGCTTACAGAAGACATTATCTCATTTAATTCTCACAACAATCCTATTAGAAAGACCTTATCATCTCCATACTGTAGATAAGAAAACCCAAAGCTCCACAAAACCAAAGAATAGACCCAAGGTCACCCAGCTAGTAAGTAACAGAGCTGAGATTTGAACCCATGTCTGTTTGACTCTAAAGACCAAGCTGGGTTTTTTCTTTTTTCCATTCTGTTTTATTGCATTAGAAATTTATTTCCTTCACATATACAGAATATAAAACCTATCTTCACAATGAATTATGCCTCTCTGCTCTCATTTTTTCACACAAAAATTAATGGCCACTTCCTGAAAAAAACTGAAATAAATCCAGAGGCCCACGCCCTTTACCAGGGCATTGCACTGCTGCTACTTAAGCTTTTGTTTCTGAAATCCTTGAATCGTGAACGTATATTCCACAATTATGCAGTTGCTTATGGTCTTCAGTTGTTTCATGTGTGAATTTGTTTGCTCAGCTTGGTTTTTATCCCCTGTGATGCACACAGTAAATGCATAATAAATGTTTGTTGAATGAATGGATTTTACATGTATCTTGCTGAAATATACGCAGTTCTGTTTGATTCACTAGAGTGGCATACCCGAACAAGAAATAATTTTTCTTAATGTGTCCCTTATAAATTGAACCCAACCATATTTGATTAATTTCACATCAGGCATTTTTATTGCACCAATCACTCTGGTATCAGGTCATATTTATTTTAAAAACAGATTCACAAAGGGTGCAGGGCTGGAGTGACAGTGTAAATATGTTAATAATAAAAATAATACTAAAGATATTTTACTGGAAACTCTCGCATGCTAATGATGAGTAAGTGCATTCTACAGAAATATGTTTGATTTACACGGCAATTAATTTCAAAAAGATTCAGATCCTATACCATGTCTTGTATACTTAGATAATGAAAACTAAAAATTGAATATTCAGGCAATAAAACCAGAGGTACAAAAATCACCTTAAAGACCTTTCGCTTTTGAGTTAGAACAAAAGCCCAGTCACTGAAAATGGTGCCATTGTCGGCTCCAGTGCGTCCAAATGAGGAAGAGCCTCCTGCGTAGCCGTGGCGATTTTGCGCCGCGCAGAGCACGCGGGCACCCTGGACAGCTCTCACGATGCAGAACACCACCTATTAGCCAGTGACCGAAGAGCCTGGCACTTTCAATCATGCAACGAAAGGCTTTGGGGGTTTCTTGTTGAGGAGAAAAGCAAAGTCTTTCATGTCAACGCTCACTGTGGGATGTGTGAGCATTTCCCTAGTTAGGTATTTGGCCGGATCTTAGGATCCAGCTCAAAAGGAAATGCATTCTCATACCCTATTCAAACCGTAAGAAAATTTTTTTAAATGTGCTTCATTTGGTATTTCAGATATTGTAGGAAAGCGTGCATGCGTATGCACCCTTTGGGGAAAGATGCCCATTTCTGTAATAGGATTTATAAAGTTGACTCTGCCCGCTTTGTATCCGAGAGGGAAAGAAGCAGATGCTGCCGGGTGATCAGGCACCACCGGGATCTTCACATCAGTGTAAAATGGTTGCGATTTTCCCTCGTTTATTGAGGACCGATCTGCCGTGATGCAGCAGACACCAGACTTGTGGCTAGAACTATTTGGCGTATTAAACAAATCTTATGTGTAATTTTGGTTAAAAAATTAAAAATCTACTTACCAAAAGAGAAAAGGGATATATTGGCTTGAGATACTGCATTTTTACCTTTCTCTAACAGTAATGATTTCATTGTAAAAGAAATGCTATAGAGTAAATTACCACAACTTTCATCAAACACACACACACAACAACCCAAAACAAATAGAAAGGGACTAAATTGAGCCTTTAAAAAATCTCACAGCCTAGCAGCCATATTATATCCTGAGGACCAGAATCAGGGAGAAGAAAATAACAGAAAATACAATATAAGAGCTTTTTGTTATAAGCCTTTTGGTCTTAAAATTAATCTCTATGCACAATTACTTTGAGGAAAAAAAAATTTAATTTAGGAATAAAATAATAAAGTAATCTACATTAAGTGAGAAAAGTTTAAGTAAAATGTAGCATAAGAAAACTTGTTGATAAGGTTTAAATGTTTTGTGGTTTACCATCATCCCCTTCCAGTTAGAAACCATTTTACTCTCTGGGTATTCTTTTAAGGGCTTGAAAATGGATAGGGGGAAGATGACTACTTCTACTCAGGAAAGTCTGTATTTCTAGGGGATGTTTAATATACAGTGATTCACACAACTTCTGTTTAAACATCTACCTGATCTTCACAAGATCTTTATATGGGACAAATAGGCATTTTTATAGTTACGAGATGAAGCTTTCAGCACACCTGAGTTTAAATATTCGCTTTGCAGATGATCTTGAACAATTTGCTTCTCTAAGCCTCAGTTCTGCATCTCTGAAATGGGTACAACTATAGCAGCTACTGCTTAGGGTCAGTGTAACCTTCAAAGGACATGGGTGCATGCCAAAAAAAATGATTTAATTATCCCATAAATGTGAGAGGGAAATTTTAAGGCAAGTTTTAAATTCCTATTCTGGTTTTGTAGCGTGTTGTATGCACAAATCCAAACCACACTATTTTCTTGTGATAATGAAGTTCTGATACTTTACTCCCCTTCTCACTTCTAGAGTGTCCCCTGCAGGCATTGTTTTCTTTTGTCCTCTAAGCAACATGTTTCTTCCATGCTGCCTTCTGGCTCCTGAAAGGTAATCTGCAATGGTCAGCAGGAGCAATGTTTTACCCAGAATTGTAACATGGGAGAATTTACATTCAGTGTGTTCATGCTTGTTTAGTTTTTAATGACACTGCCAGTTAAGAGAAGCAACTCGCTTTTCCTGAATGTGAGGGGAGCATTAAACTAAACCGTTCTTTAGGTTGTCACAGCTGAGTTGCCTAACTCTTCTACTCCCATCCTCAGGTTGGGGCGAGTTCCTTGGGGTGTCGGTGGGGCTAGGGTTAGGGCTGGGGTTTTTATGTTTGTTGTTTTTTTTTTTTTTTCCCCTGGCTTCTCCAGGTCTTAGTTGGAGCATGTGGGACCTAGTTTCCCAACCAGGGATCAAACTCGGGGCCCCTTGCATTGGGAGTGTACAGTCTTAGCTCCTGGCCCACCAGGGAAGTCCCAAGGCTGGTTTTTTTTAGGGCAGAGAGAGTCTAGAAGACAAGGTCCAAAGGATACTGACATTCGAAGAAGTCGTTTGTTGGAAGGCAAGAGGGAAAAAGCAGAAGAGTAAAGAGCAAAGAGGAAGAGCCCAGGCTCAGAGGTTTCAATCCAGCTCTTCCCTCACCAGGGGATTTGGAGCAGATTACTGCTCCCCTCCAAATCTCAGCTTCCTCATCTATAAAATGGGGCTCATTAGAATACTTACCTCATAGGGCAGTTTTAAGGATTCAAAGACATCATATTTAAAAAGTAGTTCACTAAGGATTAATTATTCTCCAGGTAGCTACATTTCTGCTCAAATATAACCATCCATGAGCCACGTGTGAACCACCTACCTACATCAAATTACAATTCACCTCAGCATTTACTATTTTATTTTTCTCCATAGCCCATACTACTCACTTATTTTAGTTATTATTTGTTGTTTTAATATTACTTAATAATATTATCATTCTCCCTCCATAAGGAAGTAAGTTCCATGAGGGGAGGGTTTTTGTTTGTTTTGTTCACTGACTCTATCCCTCCCACCTAGACAGAGTGCCTAACCAGGTGCTCAATAAATGTAGTCATTGAATGAATAAATGTCGGCCAACATTATTGTTACCACCCCTGAGGCAGAAACTTTTGATAACCCCTTCAGCCAGGAAAGCAGAAGGCAAGGATAAAAAACTCTAGGTAGATAATCATTAAAGCTTTTGCTGGGTTCTAGGTGAAGCTTTTGTATTTGGTCCTCTACATCAATAAAACATCCTTTAGGGAAAAGGTTAAGGGGGAAGCCAAGAGCAAGTGAGATCTGAGCTAGAGAAGGGAACTTTCTGTGAACTAACAAAGGGCAGAAGATTTTCATTTTCAAAGTTTGTCTCTGTTCTTAACCTATTTTGTGATTACATAAGTATTATAATACTAGGCTATGCTCTCTTTGAAATACTTTCCAAAACAATACAGATAAACCCCAAGTCCTTCTTGAGCATAATTCTGTACCCCCAACCCCTCCCTAGGAATAATCACCACAGTTGTTTTGCATATCTCCATGCCTCTTCCAAAAAGCATTTATAGAGTGCATATGTACACAGATGTGTACACATGTGTACATATGTGTACATAGTTTATATTTTTTAAAATATAAACTATAAACACTATTATTATACTCTTATTTGTTACTTTTCAATTAACATCCTGTAATATGTTCTATATCTCTTTAACTTTCTACAGATCGATATCAGCTTTTAATGGCAGAGGGAGATTTAAAGGTAATAATGAGTAGTTTAAAAAATAGTTTTAATAGAATTTATTTTTTAGAACAGTTTCAGATTTACAGAAAAATTGAGAACATAGTCCAGAGAGTTCCCATCTGCCTTGCACCCAGTGTTCCCTATAATGAACATCTTATTAATATATTATTTAGTACATTTGTTATAATTAATGAACCAACTAAACTTGAATTGAGTTTATTAGTAAATGGCTTAGTTTATTAATGAAAGTCCATGGTTTATTCAGATTTCTTTTACTTAACACTTTTTTTTTCTGTCCCAGGATCTCCCCCAGGATACCACATTACATTTGATAGTTGTAGTTTCTTAAGCTCCTCTTGACTGGGGCAGCTTCTCAGACCTTCTCTGGTTCTTGACTCTGGTTCTTGATGACCTTAACAGTCCGAGGAGTCCTGGTCTTTTGTAGGATGTCCCACAAGTGGGATTTATCAGGCATTTTCCTCATGAAAACTGGAGTTGTGGGTTTGGAGGAGGAAGACCACAGAGGTAAATTGTCATTTTCATCACATCGTAGCAAGAGTACATACTTGCAATGTGACTTACTACTGTTGTGTCTTTTTTTTTCTTTTTTGACCGAGTTGCATGGCATGTGGGATCTTAGCTCCCGTACCAGGGATTGAACCCATGCCCCCTGCAGTGGAAGTGCAGATTCTTAACCCCCGGACTATCAGGAAAGTCCCACTTATTACTGTTGATATTATCCTTGATCACCTGGCTGAGATATTTGAGTGATAATCCAATACTACTTTATTTTGTTGCTGAAAATCTTCAGGTTTGGCCATTGGTTTCCTGTGTCTTTTTTTTTTTTTAAATGAATACTTAAAAAAATTTATTTCATTTTTATTGGACTTCCCTAGTGGCTCAGAAGGTAAAGAATCCGCCTGCAATGCGGAAGACCTGGGTTCAATCACTGAGTTGGGAAGATCTCCTGGAGGAGGGCATGGCATTCCACTCCAGTATTCTTGCCTAGAGAATCCCCATGGTCAGAGGAACCTGGCAGGCTACAGTCCATGGGGTCACAAAGAGTTGAACACAACTGAGTGACTAAGCACTATTGAAGAATAGTTGATTTGTGGTAGTAGCAGTAGGTATACATGTTAGTTTCAGGTATACAACAAAGTGATTCAGTTTTATATATATATGTATATATATATTATATTATATATACTTCTCAAGAAAATATATTCCATTATAGTTTATTACAAGATATTGAATATAGTTTCCTGTGCTATATACCATAATTCCTTGTTGTTCCTGTGTCCCTTTGATGTACCTCCATGCATGTAGGTTTTTTTCATTCCAACCATTTTCTTACTTTCTGGCACTGTAAGATGTTTCAGGTTCATCTTGTATGTTTCCCTCCTCAGTTCTAGAGTCAGCCATTTCTCCAAGGACCCCTGGTTCCTCCTTTTTGGGGGGAATGACATAAGAAACCAAGTTCTCGGCATTAGGTATACTCTTAGGGCAAGCATATTTATTTTTCTAGGTAAAATAAAGATGTCTACAGGCTTTTCTATTCAAAATGAAAATTATTTAATTCAAAATCTCTGTCACTGAGACTGAAAGACAAATGCATATTTCAAAATTTTATTTTTTACTGTATTGGGAAAAAAACATTAAAATCCAAATATCTTTGAGAGGCAAATTTTTCATCCTTTACAGCCTACATATATAAAACATTTTAGATTTCACAGAAGAACATCATGAGACCCTGCCAAGTAAATGCCATCACTTTCATTCTGTGAATGAGGGAACTGAGGCTGAGAGAAGCAATGTGACTCTTTACCAGGGTCACAAAGCTGAGCTGAAGCTAGGATTAGTTTATTCCCCCCCCCGCCCCTTTTTTTTATTTGCTGCACCCCAAGGGACCAAGGACTGAACCCAGTTCCTTGGTAATGAAAGCACAGAGACCTAACCATTGAACCACCAGGGAATTCCCCTGGTGGCTCAGACAGTAAAGAATCTGCCTGCAGTGCAAGAGACCTGGGTTCGATCCCTGAGTTGGGAAGATCCCCAGGCGAAGGGCATGGCAACCCACTCCAGTATTCTTGCCTGGAGAATTCCATGGACAGAGGAGCCTGGCAGGCTACAGTCCACCAGGTCGCAAAGAGTCAGACATAACTGAGCAACTAATGCTTTCACATTCATATTTCATTTAAAGCAACATTTTTTGTGCTGAGATTTTAGCAAAGAACTGGGAAATAGAAAGATGCATAATTTACAGCCCCACCCCTTTATTTCCTAGAATCACTTTCTCCAGTATAATCTCCAGATTTTGCTGGAAATTGTAGTCTCTTCAGTGCGTGAATAGAACATGTTCTCCCAGGTGAAGCAGGTTCTGAGACTTCCCTCTGGACCATTCCCCTTCATCATCAATACCTCTGTAGTGTATAGCAGCAATTAGTTCTTAGACTGTTCCCTAAAGCCGGGTTAGGGGCTCAGGTTTCAGTGCCATCTGACTAGGCAGGTCTTGCAAATAAGTGGAGGAATCTACAGTAAGAGGGTCTTGATAGATGGCGGCTGACGCCTGGCCTGCATCACAGCTGCCCACCAGGAGGAGGGCAACCACTACTCACCTGATTGTTGACAAGTAGGCTGTGGACCCAGTATTGCCACATCATTCCAATTTTTCAAAGAAAGCAAAAAAGCCCTCAGCAGACTGTGGAGGCTGATTTCAGTTTTCAGGCTACCTGATTTTCGGTTTGGTTTTGTTTTTACTTCTGACCTAGCATTTGCTCAGGCTTTCCTGGTGGCTCAGTGGTAAAGAACTTGCCTGCCAATGTAGAAGACACAGGTTCGATCCCTGGGTCGGGAAGGTCCCCTGGAAACGGCCACCCACTCCAGTATCCTTGCCTGGGAAATCCCATGGGCAGAGGAGCCTGGCAGACTACAGTCCATGGGGTCACAAAGATTCGGACACAACTGAAGTGACTTAGTACACACACATTTTGTTCTTACTCTGCCAATTGTCAGGGATGCTATGATGACTGAAATACATCAGGTTACTTCTAGCTTAGTAAATCATCAGGAGGTGAGTCAGGTGGGAAGATGATAGAGTCGCAGGAAGGATTTAGTTTTTTATTGGCTCTGTACCATGTGAGATCCTAGTTCCCTGGTCAGGGATGGAACCCACACCCCCTGTATTAGAAGCATGAAGTCTTAACCACTGGACTACCAGGGAGTCCCCACAGGAAGAAGTTAAAAGAACACTATCTGGAGACTCAGACATCTTAGAGTAATGGCATCCAGATAGCTTCTTTTTGCTCTCCTGTCTTGTATAGATTGCAACAGAGGTCACATGCATGTGTGGGTGCTTAATAAATGCTCTTTGAAGGTGACGATAATGAATTGAGATATAGGAAATCTGAAAACACTCTCTAGGAATGTGGCTTAGGGTGTGAAATGCTTTAGAATGATTCCCTGTGAGAAAAGGCTAAAGAAATTGGGGTTACTAATACCATATCACAGAGAAAAGAAGGTTAAGGAGAATTTAATAGCCATCTTCAAATATCTGAAGGGATGTTGCTCATGTGTTTTAAACATCAGTTCTTGTCTACTAAGGACAGGACATGAGGGAATTATCTTAAATGGGAGCAGGAGGGACTTAGATTAGATATCAACGTGGGGGGACAAGCCAGCTGAAAGAATTGTGAGATGCCAGACAGCGACATGATTTAGAGAAAGGACATGGTTATTTTAGGAACAGGGGTTGCTGATTATTATTAGGGCAAGTGTAGAGCCTGGGGCCTCCAAGTCAGCCAGTTACTAGCTGTAAGACCTTGAGACAGTGACGTCACCTCTTTGAGGCTCAGTTTCCTCACTTGTTAAAAGGGGTTAAGAACAACATCTATTTATTGGACTGTGTGAGGATTACATTAGCTTAGGTCTAAGGGCTTTACTGGGCTTCCCTGGTGGCTCAGCAGTAATCTGCCTTTAATACAGGAGACTCGGGTTTAGTCCCCGGGGTTGAAAAGATACCCTGAAGAAGGAAATAGCAACCCCCTCCAGTACTCTTGCCTGGGAAAATCCCATGGACAGGAGAGCCTGGTGGGCTATATAGTTCATGGGGTCACAAAAGAACTGGACATGACTTAGCGACTAAACAGTATCAACAATGACTTGATAAGCCATTAGGTATATTGGCGTCAGGCAGAGAACAAGGCTCGACCAATAAGGGATGCCATTCATTGCAATTCATCTACTAAGGTCCTATATATGGAAAAAATAAAACAAATAAACAACTCCCCACACTACAAAAAACACTCTGCACGTAAACATAATCTCTTTTCAGAGGCATCAAACAAGCAAATACTGCTGGGTGTTGTGGGGCTTACAATCTCATTGAAAACACCCGATGTGAACAATCAGAAACTGAAATAAATGAGATTAAGATAACAGAGTCCGCAGAGTGAAGTAGTTAAGAGCTGCGAGTATGGAAAATGCATGAGTCCTTAGAATAGTGCCTGGCACCTTAGGAATTGTTTCCCTTGATAGATCAAAACCACAGTGCAAGCTAAAGGTCAATTTTTAAATGAAAGCTTGAAAAAAAAAAACCTATGGAGTTCTCAAGTGGGAGAAACTGCTCCAAAATAGTATGGGTCAAACAAACAAATGGATAAGATTGAATGCACTAATCTGTAAATGTTTTTGATCAGAAGGATCTTGATTGTCTTAATCAAATGATCAATTACCCACTATTTGGATGTCCTAAACTTTTATTCTTAAAACATTTGCAGGCACTGCTGTGAATACCCTACTTGTCAGCTTTCAAAGAAAAACAGTTATTTGTTTCTGATATTTTGAATACACTCAAGAAGCAGTTTTCTACATTGATTGTATTCTATGAACTTTACTTCATAGCAATTATAACTCCTGCAGCGCATTTAACTTACTAATATTTATTGAAATATTTTTAGCTGCAAAAACATTTTATGTTCACTATTATTTATTAATGCCCTGTTTTAAAATATTACACATAAAATTTATTCCAGTGCACATTAGTAAATAAATTATGCTTGTAATTTCTAATGCATTTTTAATTATAAATTTATCCATGTCTACCTTTATTTATGATAGCGGTGTCTCAGTGTTGAACATACTGTATATTAATGGAGACACTGTTAATTATGCATTCTTAGAAGTTGCATTCGACAAAACATACGAGTCTGTTTTTTTACATCCTAAGTCCTGTTAACATCATTAATTTAGAAGTTGGAACTCACAGCACTAGCTAACCTTTAAAGCAAGAAAATATGCTAGTAGAAACTGGTTATAGAGCCTGGATTTGGGCAGGGACTGCATTTATCTATAAATGTAGCCAGAGAGATACTAAATAGTACCAGCCAGATGTTTCATTTTCACTCCAAGTATCTTAAAAAGGACACCAGAAATAATATTCAGCACAAAAATACAATAGAACAAAGCTCAGGGACTCTCTGCAAACACCCAGAACAGATCTATGCTTAAACAGGATCTGCTGAGTGTAATGTTTAAGATTTTCTGCTTGGTTAATTTTGTGCTTCTCCTCCACCCACCCAACTCACCTTATTATGAGCAATATATTTGTTTTAAAAAATCCTTCACACTGAAATGTTATTTTAATTTGAAAAAACACTACGTTGTTCTGAAATCATCAATTTCTTAGAGGCTTCTTTCAAATAGTTTGAATGGATTTTTGACACCTAATTTACTGTTGTCTTGAAAGTACTTTGTAACATAACAGTAAAAATGCCTGTTTTCCCTATGGGAGGAAAAAATATATTTCAAAAGGAGAGGAAACTAAAATTGGGGAAATAGAAGGGAAGCATAGTCACACATACACAATATGAAGAACACACATTTGCAAAGAAACTAGAAGGTGCCTCCCTTTGCCCGCAGCGCTGGCAGGGCTTGAAAGGGTGTTCCTTTCATTTTATCATGTTCACTCTCAGCTTGTTGTCATAGACTTGGCAAAGTTGTATTTTCCACACACAAATTCTGCTTAGCAACAAAAGATTTCCAGTTGCATCCTGTGTGTGTTTTGAGTACCTTTTCATTTAACATGCATTTTACCAAGTGTTTATGGTGTTTTAAGCTTTAAACATATTCGAGAGAGAGCAACATGCTCCTTTGCTCGTGGCCTGTCAGGGAGACAGTTGTGTATTGAAAGAATAACAGAAAATGTGATAAATCTTGAACACAGAAAATGAAGCTTTTCATGTGACCTGTGGGTGAGAAGTATTCTTAGAAAACTTTCTAGAGTAGGAGAAGCAGTATGTGAATTTGATTTTAATTCTTGGTTTTCAAGAATGAATAGAGGGCCTTCCCTAGTGATCAGCGGTTAAGAATCCACCTGCCAATGCAGGGGACACAGGTTCAATCCCTAGTCCAGGAAGATTCCACAGGTCTCAGGGCAACTAAGCCTGTAC